CTCGGTGAGTGGATTCGCGAGTTGAGGGGTTGTGTGGGAAGGAACAGGTCAGGACTCCCTTGGACACTTGTTTGCATGCATGCAATCGAGTTGCAAAGATATTTGCTCTCTTTTTTTTCCTTTTTTTCATTTTTTAATTAAGATACACCTTATCATTACAACTACTGTTGCAGGTACATAAATGCTCATTCATTCAACAGAGAATATGTTTTGTGGGTGAGGACAACAGAGAATTAACCTGGAAAATTTTCTCCTTTTGTATTTATTTATTGTAAAAGGGAGTGGGCAAAGCTTTGGAATTTTGTTAATGTCATTTTTTTTAATAGAAAATAGGGCAATTTCTCAAGACAAAGGGGTGTTGATGTCAAACTCCTAACCCACGACTTTCAAAAGAAAAGGAGGGCTCTAGACTTGCCTTTCAATAAAAAAACAAAAAAAAAAACTCCTAACCCATGACTAGTTTGAAATAAGTTCTAAAGATAAAGGGGGTTTAGACTTGGGTTTGTGTTATTTAGCTTCAGTTCAAAAAAAAGACTTGGGAACGTTGGCGCCGTTTGCATTTGAAATTGTGAAGCCGAAGTACTGTAAGATGGGAAAGCGACATTATTTTTATTTTCTCGGTAAAAACTTATTTTTAGTTACTCACCTTATTAAATTTAAATGTTGTAACTCCTCAATTTATATTATGATATTTTTAACCCCTCACTTTATATTATAATACTTTTAATTCTTCACCTAACTAGATTTGTAAGTTTTAACCCCTTATTTTATAATATAACACTTTTAGCTCCTCACCTATTAAAATTGAAAAAAATAATCCTTACTTTGTAATATTTTGTTAGTTCTATTAGTTGACTGTCAACTCTATTAGTTGCCTATTAGTTAATTGTTAGTTGACAAAAACCTTTTTTTCTGTTAATAAAGTTAACAAAATTAATTTTATAATATTTCATTAATTCTGTTAACTATCTATTAGTTGACTGTTAGCTGACAAAAATCTACTTTCAACTAACAGAGTTAACAGTCAGTATAAAATGATAGCTATTTTCTTCGATTTTAATAGGTGAGAGGCTAAAACATACAAATCTAGTAAGGTGAGAAGTTAAAAATATTATAATATAAAGTAAGGAGTTAAAACCTTTAAACTTGATAACTTTAAACTTGATAAAATGAGGGGCTAAAAGTAGATTGACTATTTTATTAAAGAGGCAATTTATTTGAGATTCCCTGGCATTTCTACTTTTCCATTTTTAAGATCCACTTGCATTTTGGGCCGTGGTTATTGTATAAATAGAGGCAATTTATTTGAGATTCCCTGGCATTTCTACTTTTCCTCTTTTGAGATCCACTTGCATTTTGGGCCGTGGTTATTGTATAAATAGTTGTCAAGGCTACCTGAAAATAATGTAACAATGTTTGATTTGTTTAATTTTATTAACTTATAATTAATTAAAGTCTTTGAAAACATTATTTTATGAATTAATTCAAACTGCTAAAGTTTTATTTAGAGTATTGTGTACAGTACTTTTTTACAATACTTTATAAAAAATAAATTTATTATAAATAATTAATTTTAATTAACATTTTATATAATTTTAATAAATATTTTTTATATTCCATAAAAAGACAAAAAAATTTCTACACGGGACTACCCAACACTACTGCATTCATAAACTAATATACCTGAGTAATAAATAGGTTATGAATGTTCTATTTATTATTAATTAATAATTACAATTATAAACTACTCTTAATACTTAATAGTTTAATTAAAATTATTAATAGTGCTTTTGTGTGGCTTAACGATTATTTGTTCACTATAAACAAGGCCAGCTACTAAATATTTTTTATTTAGGTTTACTGTAAAACACTTTCCTTTTCTTTTAAAGATTGTTATAATGTTTTTAGATCTGTTTTTTAATATCTCAAAACTAATCCTTTTTCTAGGATCTTAAGAGTGTATTTTTATATCATGAGTTTTATGCATTTAAGGATTAATTTCTTTAAATGTGCTTGATACACTAAAGTAAATTAATTTTTTAAGTGTAAATTTTAAGATTTGATTTTTAAATTTAATTTATAAAATAATACTAAATTACTAACTAAATAATAAATCATCTGATTTATTAGAGTTAACAATTAATTGATAAGTAATTATAAGGTTACATAGAACTGTAAATTTGTAATCTTATTATGTCATGTCATTAAATATATATATAATATTATAAGTAAATATTTAAATAAAATATATCAATTATATAATAATATATTATGATTACAATACCATGGTAGCATAATTATAACCATATCATTTTTCATATTCCCAAATAGTTAAATCAAACAAAGCTTTAGCAACTTCTAGGATTAATAACCAAACAACCTCTTAATCCATTTTTATTTACACAATGATCAGTATACTAGTGTACTAGCAAGTAACAACCAGGAGGACACTCCCCAAAACAACGAAATCCCAAGATATTGTTACACTTAGCCAGAATAAGTTCTCCAATTATCCAAACACAGGCATTCGGTATCCGGGGGTACGTAATGCAATTACAAAAATAACCCCGTCTTTTTCCAAAATTCTCAGTCCTCAGAACAACTTGTTCCACAAGACCACTGCTATTAGTATTTGCAGAGACAAACACAAAACTTCGATAGACAGATCGGAATCCGAAAGCTTCCCGTCTCGCAGATCGGAGGATAAGAAGAATGGAGTGTGTTTTTGGTCTCGTCGGTGACGGTTTCGCTATTCTGGCTGCCGACACATCGGCGGTTCACAGCATCTTGGTGCACAAATCGAATGAGGACAAGATCATGGTCCTCGACTCGCACAAGCTCGTCGCCGCTAGCGGCGAGCCCGGTGACAGGTGAGAGCTTTTGAACTCGGATTGGGGTATGTCCGATTGGGTGTATGTGTTTCTATTTAACTGGGTTTTTTTTTTTTTTTTGTGGGTAGAGTGCAATTCACGGAGTTTATACAGAAGAACGTGGCTTTGTATCAGTTCCGTAATGGTATTCCTCTGACGACTGCCGCTGCGGCGAATTTCACTCGCGGAGAATTGGCTTCTGCTTTGAGAAAGGTAATACTTTGTTGTGTGGTTTAATTGTTTTTGCCTTTTTTTTTTCAAAATTTTTAATTAATCATGTAGTTTTCGAGGGGGGTTTTGTGCGAAGATAGATTTAATTTAAAGGTTCTTTCTCTAATTTTGTTGTTTCTGGGGTTTATAGAGAGATTTAATTAGGGTTTAGTCTTTCATATTTAATTTAGGGTTAGCATGACTAAAAGTTGTGGACTGTATGATGAATACACTGGATTGCCTTGTTTAAGTTTCTGGCTGTGAAATGAAGAACAATGGCGTCTTTAGCTTTCATGCTTGGTTGCTTGCCTTTAGAAAACCTCGTCTTAATCTAGCATAGATGGCTCGTGATTTTGTTAGAATTTGCAGCCTTGACAGCTTTTCATATGTTTTAAAGTTTTACAATTTGTCTGTTCATCAAAGTGAGCAGCTTGATGTAGGCTTGAGGTTGCCATGTGTAGTCTAAAATTTTTAGGAAAATAGATAGTTTCTGGAATCAAATTTTTCATATTCATAATGACTGCTCTGCTTATTAAAGCGTGTATTCTTGGCTTTTCAACTGTTTTTATAATTTCGTTATTGCAGTTGTAACTTCCTTACAATAAAGATCAGCATGTGACATGGTTTATCAAGTAGAATTTAAGACTTAGAATGAGCTAAAAATGTATGGTGGGGCATCACTAAATATTTCAGAAAAATTCTTTGAATAGTAATGTTTCAAGATTACTTGCTTACGAGGACTGTTTTGTGAAGAAAATCCTAGTACTTTTAGTTTGAGATAAAACTGATGCTAAAAATTTGTTGTGGAATGTGGATTGTGCATTGATTTCCTTCATTATTAGCTTCATAAAATTTTCCTTGATACTTACTACATGGGCACATCCAATGTGGTGAGACATCGCCCAGTCAGTTTATTAGTTTAGTGTCATTGTACTGTTTTGGGTTCTTATGTTACTCATTGTAATAGATAGGCAAAACTATCTACTTTAGCGAATAACTATTAAGTATGGTACCGAGTTGGATGGCTTTTGTGGAAAGAAGTGCTCTCAACTTTCAGTTTGACTCTTAATTATCCAAAGCCATGAATGTTGAATGATTCTGCCTCTGCTGGCCTCTGGTTAAGATCACTGGTATTTGTCAGGAAAATGGAACTTAGTAGTAAGCTTCAGAGAAGTTTATGAACTGCATTCTCTAATGATTATCCATTTTTTAAGGGAATTTGGCTGACTCTTCCTCACAAAACATGATTTGTGTTTGTCACTCATGTCACTTTCATCAGTTAATCATCTGCTGCCTCATCAGTGAATTCAAAAGTTTTAGATTGCCGGTTTGTGCTTTTAAGGTCTCATTAAGTTTTCCCTGGCCTCCTACAAGGTGTGAGCCTTACCATTTAAGAATTGAAACAGCAAAAATTCCCTTGCTAGCTAGGCTCATATGGTTGAAATTTGAAAAGCTAAAATAGCATAATGGCTGTCCTTGTTGTAGTCAGTCTGGATACTATAGAAATTGTGTCAAAGATTAGAGACCTGGTGGGTTATTGTGGTAGCTGAAAATATTGACTGTTGTACTCAATTGGTACAAGTTCAGTTGCTGGTATAATAGTGTTACTTGAAATAGATGCTGTATAGTCTGAAAGATAATGCTTTCCATATCACCACTGCCCTAAACCACCAATCATTTTTTTTTTTCAAGTAACCAAATCACCAATCTTAGTTGGACTACCTAGCTGTTATATGTGATTGTGTGTGTGGGGTAGGAGAGGGCGCACCAATTAAACCTGTTTCCATCTGTAAGAAAAATGGTTCTTCAGCTATCAGAAAATCTATATTAGGGAGCCAATTTCACTGGTTTGAATTTATTATCTAAGCCTCTTAAGGCAACCAAATGTAAAGATATATATTAGTAAAAGAAAAATGGTGTTAGTGTTTATTCTGGTGTGTAACTGTCTACATGTTGTGGCATTTTACAATTAGTGCACCTAAAATTTTATGGACGTATGACTTTTTGGCAAAAAAGAAAGAAAGAAAGAAAAAAAGAAAAAAGGACTTAGTTGATGTTTTGGGGATTTGCAAGTCTCCATCAGTAATATGTGGCATGGAGATGTGAATTGGGTTTGTTGCCTCTTCTATTTCATAATGTGTAGAGTTGTGTTAATTGATTATGTTTGGTTTTCCAGAACCCATACGCTGTGAACATTCTGATGGCTGGCTACGACAAAGAGACAGGCCCTTCACTGTACTATATTGACTACATCGCTACCATGCACAAGGTTGATAAGGGAGCATTTGGTTATGGCTCCTACTTTTCCCTTTCCATGATGGACAGACATTACCATAGTGGGATGACAGTTGAAGAGGCCATCGATTTAGTCGACAAATGCATAATAGAGATCAGATCCAGACTGGTCGTTGCACCACCAAACTTTGTAATCAAAATTGTTGACAAGGATGGAGCAAGAGAATATGCCTGGCGTGAATCTGTCAAGGATGCCCATGTTGCCTCTGCCTGAGCTCTTCAAGACTTGGTTTTCAAAACATTGGTCAATTTGCTTATATTTCCGTAGTAAATTTGGAGAGTTTGATGACATTTTGTATGTTCAACTCCAAACTTAATTTTTATGAAAAATGAAACACTCTGCACTTTCTTTCACCAAAGTATCAAAACCATATCATCTAGCTTGGTAGCCAAAACTGATTCTGTTCAGGAACGCTGAACCAGGAAACTTCAGCGATTGCTTAGCAGCCTAGCCATGCACATGCTGCTCTCCGGGTATGTTTGGAAAGGTTCTTCTATTTTGTTACTTGAAAAAGGGAGAGAGAAGGGAATGCGTTCTTTATTTTTAACTTTTAATTCTTTTATTTAAGGTTAAAATCTCAATTTGATTTTTAAAATTTTAAATTTGTACTAAAGTTATTTTTGAACTTTAAAAAGTATTAAAATTGTTTTTAAGTTTTAATTTTTAGTATCAAAATAATCTTGAACTTTAATTTAATACTAACTTTGTATTTGAATTTTAAAGATAAGTATTAATTTAGTCCTTGAGCTTTAATTAAAATATTAATTTAGTCATCCAATTTTGATTACATGTCAATTTGATATATAAATATAAATATATTATGATAATAAAATACAATTAGAAGTTAGTGTTTGT